ATTCCCTGGGTCTTGAGAATCGCATCGTGAGACAGCATTCGAGATCTCACACTCCTTACCCTCTTCGAAACATTGACATCTAGGCGAATAGATCAAAATCATAGACTCTCATCGGTATCACCGCAAATACTTTGCAACAGTCGGATACGCGGGTCTCGTGCTATGTTTTACGCAAAGAAAGGGCGTATATCCAACAGACCCGTGAAAGCCGTCCGACCCGCCTGGGCAGCTCTAGCACGCTCCCTAGATCATTCCACCCAGACCCAATCGCGAGCGTTCCAGCTGTCACTGTCTGAAAACTTCATTAGTGAAGAAGAAACCCCACGGGACGCAACGAAACAAGTCGGTCTTCTGCGGTCGAGCTTTACGTTTTGCGTCGATGCGGCACGCGGCTTGGCCTTGGTATTTCTCCACACCGAAGCCGTGTAAGCGAGCCATCCAGCCAGCCCAACGACGGGAAGTAAGGTAGTGGTAGTGCTGGGCTCTACCCAAATCTCTCTCAGACACTTGACTCAGGCCTAAGCCGTCTGAGATCCCGCGTTGACTCAGACACTAGATTTCCCGCGCCGGCAATAAGCCTCCCGCTGCTTCGGAGAAGGGCCCAGCTCCCCGAGATCTGGCGCGGGCCCCTTCAGGCTTCAAGTGCGAGTCCACCTCCCGAAGGTTCCCGGGGTCTCCGCTGTCCGTCCGAAGTCGAGGCTTCCAACTTCATCAGCGGGGCCCTTGGCTTCGATGGCTTGTGAGGAACGCACACTCCCCCCTCCTTCCCCCCCCCCTTCCGTCGGAAGATGCCCACCTAACCACACAACAACTCCTCTCGTTGCTGCCCTCTCATGGTGTCTTCCGGAAGAAAGAAGATAGTAGGTAGTTATATCCTCATCGGACGCTAGTCAGGAAACAGGATTGCGCTCGTTCTCGACCCCTCTACAATGTATCTCTGTGGACGATCCAGGCGGAGAAGAGACTGATTCCAGGTCGACTGCACCGACGCTATGAGAACGATCGAGAACCAAAGCATTTTCCTATCCGGTTCATCAAACGTTCACCTAGACTTGGTCCGACAGATTACCCCAGGGTCCGAAAATATAGGGCAACCTAGGATGACCTAGTTTGGTAGTCATCAAAAGAGGTTTGAGCGTCAAAAGCTCGCCTAGCCAGCGAATTGCGAGTATTCTGGCTCGATTCCTTTGCCTGCAAGACCCTGTGTTTACAATCAATAACAATTCTCCGTAAAAGGAGCGACTGTAAGGCGAGCATCATCCCTACTGTGGCCTCATGAAGGCCGATAGGGCTTCTTTGATTGATGGCGGTACGTGCTATCGACCGGTTCGAAATCGGTCACCCTTCGCCGCCAGGGAAGCAGACTCGGCAAAAGAGCCTTCACATTGGCGGAAACCCGCTGAAGGCGACTAGGAAGAGATGGCTACCGGGTTCCTGGTGAAGAATGGCTTCTTTTGTTGAGTTAGCGCAAGCTTTGGCGCCTTCATCAGGCTCAAGATTGTGCCATGTTGCCGAGACGCCAAGGTTAAATGAGACGCCATGTTAGTCCCAAAGAAACCGTTTGCCTTGCGTTATTGGCATGGTTTGATGATAGTCGAGTCGTTTTCTCCCTGGCCGAAACGTCTTGCTTTGCTCCCTTTGATCCCAGTCGCTTAGCCCTGCTCGTAAGGCCACGAGATGGAGGCTCGGTCCCGAACTCGAGCCGGACGAGAGGTATCCACACAAACAAGGAAGAACAGATGATGGAGAGGGCAGGGGGGAGGTGATGAAGTGAGCCTGCAAGCAATCCGATTAGGACGTATCCTTGGATTTATGAACGGCGACCAAAAGACTTGGGGCGGGGCAGCCCAGGGGTTGCTCGCAGCCACGTCGAGAATGGCTGCTGGAAGGCTCGGATCGCAGCCTGTCACGGATTCACGATCTTTGTGACAAAATTGTTGTGCGACCACACGTAAATGATCCATTCTTCGACCAAGAGCCTCCGAAGCGCGGCCGTATATGTTGCCAATCGTCCTGTCTCACAGAAGGCGCCTGTACAGCACGTATGGCGGCATCTTCGCGCGATAAATTTCCCACGTAACGTAGTCTCGTTCGTATCATGAGAGCGGCACAGTACGCCATGTCGGCTAAGAACAACTAGGTTGTGTACAGCCACCTCATCGAACGCGCGCCTAGCGCCAATCTCTTGCCTGTAACTGTCAACTCGTTGCGCTTCCTCATGGGATACTAACTGCTGCCCTGTAATAAAGTGATCGGCGACTATGCCCCCGTCTTGCTTTCCCTACCAGGCTAACGCAGACTGGGATTTCAAATATTCCCTGTCTCGACCATTGCTCTGTTTCAAGCATCTTACTTTAGTGTTAGAATCGGTACAGCAAGTAATCTTGTCGATTCCTTCCCGCAACAAACAAGACTTCCGCTTCAGATCTGCTCCTCTGGCCTTTACTTCCTTCTTCTTAGTGGTTGATGGTAAACGGCCAAGGACCACTACCATCGACTGCGTTCGTATCGGAAACCCTTGCGAGCCAAGACGCGAACCAGGTAGAAGGGAATAGCTGAAGGCACTCAAAACTTCGATCCCGCTTGCGAAGTTGAAAATTTGACTAGGGCAGGGAAGTAGAGACAACATCGGACCATAGCCACGGCGGGATCTCGGTCTGGTAGTGGGGTCCGAGGACGCTCCAGTCACGCAGCGCATGACTGTCACAGCTCCAGGGCGGCCGCCTGCCTTGGCGAGGATAAGCAGTATAGGGTCAAGTACCGGGTTCATGACAGTTGGGGGCCGTCGATGTGGCTTTCGGTAGGAATGTCAACGCTGACCCTGAGGATGATCCGTCGGACGGAAACCAGGTGCCGCTAGTTGGTCGTAAACGTCTTGCGGGATCCGTCGGATGTTGCCTGTTGGGGTCCAGGCGAATCTGTTCTTGTTTCCTCCCTGCTTATCTGCGGGTATTTCCCAGGTGTTTCTCGCGTATGTTGTCAGTGGTCGTCATGGCGGCGGCCAGGGCGAGCAATACTCGCAGATCCTGGGGTCTTCATGCCTGTTCAAGGCGGTGACGGTCTCTTGCTCTCAAGACGAACAGTTTGCTGATCACAGTGTCGGAATCGGGCATATAGGCAAGTTGGAGGAAACGGAATGAGCCGTGTGCATATCTTGGAAGTATCAGCCGATAGTTGCGGCCTGAGCCTTCGTTTTACTCGACAGATGATGTCGGTGAGTGCGGTGGCTTGCCCTGCCGCGATGGAATTGAAAATAAACAGCATACGCTTCGGTTAATCTGAGGGAGGGTAAACCCGTCAATGACTCCGACTGCCCCCCGTTGCCGGGGCTGTGGCTGCAGACTGCGGGATGTCGCAAGTCAGGGCAGGTGGGGGATGCGTACAGATGCCACAAAGTGTCTGGATGCCGATGGAGAAGGCTGGACTAGTGACAATGTCTCTTTCCATTTCTTTGCTCTCGTCGGTGAAGACAAAGCTTGGAAGAGAGAGAAAGAAGGGGAGCAGGGAAGAGGCTAGCATGGACGCAACCAACTTTACCTTCTTGAGCCAGCATGCGTTGCATGAAGCGAAGGCAGGGATGAACGACAGCACTGCGTTGATGCAGACTGAGCGGACCGCCCGCAAATCTTGAGTCCGAGGTGGTGGCTTAACCAAAACGCCCCCCCCAAGTCAACCAACGCTCTCTCTCTCTCTCTCTCTCGCGGGCGCGCGCGCTCACTTGAAGCGCAGCGCAGCCTTCTCCCTGTCTCAACATCATTAGCGTTGCAGGGAACTCGGGTCCATCAAAGTGCTAGATCCAGGCGTCGATCTCGACCAATGCGGGGAGATGTTTGCTGGAGCGGCTACGAAGTATGGCATTGGTGGCTTTGTTCTTGCGGTCAGGTTGTCCTGCATTGGAAGTGGGAGGGATGTGCCCACCATATCAGGCTCGATATGAATTGCAATACGAGAGAGGCGTGGCAGGTGTGAGTGGTAATTCCCCTAGCGTTCTTGAGAATCTGTTCTGCTTCTGCTTCTTTTACCCTCGTTCCGAGATGATGTGGTGATGTTTTGCGATAGCTCTCCCGCATGTCTGAAGGGTGAGACAGCAGATTGAGATTTGGGGAAAGAAATGGGGCCCGGTGGAACGCAGCAGTGGCAGTGGCAGTGACGGAGTGGGTGAGTGCTAGATGGGACGATCTGTGCGTCCTTGACCTTGTACAGGGCAAGGCAGCACGGGCAGTAAGTGGTGACAAGGTACCCATGTCCACAGCCTGGCTGAGGCTGAACCAATAGGGTTTAGCCCGGTTGCTAATCTCGACGACCCTCGTCTAACCCCCCAATCATGCAGCCAACTTACCAACGTTTGCTCCTTCTTGCATCTCTCGGTAACCAATCATAATAGCCTACACGAAAACCACCGTTGGAACATCGAGGTTCCTTTGTTGTTTGCGCCCTCCTACAGCCCTCCTCCAGCCCTCTTCCAGCATCACATGGCTCTAGTTTGCTCCGGCTGTCTCCATTGGCGTGCGTGGTCATCGACCTCTCCGCATAATCTGACAGGGGCAGACGCGTGAAGGGTAAGTATGCGAATACTCTCTCTAAATTCTTTTGCCCAAATTGCTTCTTGTATGATTCTTGATCAACACGCCTATCCTCAAGTGTTCCAGCCACGTGAAATGATGGCAAATGACGCAACAAAGTGTATGGTCATCACCAGATCCTAGTCCCTGCTTTTGCTCCCCACCGCTTTTCCATAGCTAGATTGTAGTCCTCTTGCGACTGGAAAGGCGGTCAACCCATCGCTGAAGACCAGTAGCTAGCTCCTTTGAGTCGGCTCCTACTGTTTCAGAAGAATGAAGAAATGCTCGTTTGCCTTTTCCACCTGCCGTGAACTCCATCATAGTAGTCTCATTGCAGAAAATGGCCCCCAACTTCCCTTCTTTGCTGTCTTCAATATGCCCCCCATGCCTAAACCCAAACGAAAACGAAAAGAAAAAAAAAAACAAGCAAGGTAAAACTCACCGTTCCTTCTTGGCCGTGGCTGGAGCATCTCCCACCTCGTTTGGGTTGCCTCTTGCATTGGCCTCGTCAAAGTCATAGCTAGCATCGTGCCTCTGGCGGAAAAGCTCGTCGAATGCCTGTTCGTCGAGCGACAATGCCTGAGGAGAAAGCGTCATAGTTGTGAAAGAGTCGCTCATGGTGAAACTTTCTCCATGGACGCCTGTGTCGAGGGAATCCTGCGGAGTGAAAAGCCCAAGGCCCTGGACATTGTCTGCCGCGGAATGCTGAAACGCCTCGTGGTATGGGTTACTGTGGAAAGATCCATTGACAACTAACGAATCCCCCCGGCGTGAATATTCACCAGTGCCGTTTTCTGATGGAAAGCAGATAATGTTTGAGCCATGTGTCGAAATCCGCGTCATTCCCCCGTTCTTTTCCAAGGGACTTGCGCGCTGTGCCGCTATTGATGAATATGCTGGCGGGCTAGAAAGTAGGGCGGTACCACCTCGAGAGAATTCATCGGCCTGAACGTCGAAATTGATGTGCTGTTGATCCATCACCTGGACATCCAATGCCGTCGGTTGATAATTGCTTTGCTCCTGTAACAGAGCATTGTTGAGATGATGTTGGTGCTGGCCAATGGTGAGAGCTGTCTGATGGTGATCTGTGTTACGTCGGCTCTGGCATGCTGTTCAAGATCAGCTTTTGAAAAGTCATTTCGCCGATCGCACGACTCACTCGGATCATAATGATAGACTGTGCAGTGCTGATAAATTTCTTCTTGGTTTGTGACTGCAGAGAGGCTGACCAGCGGCATTGGCGCGCGCACTTTTTGCCCCTGAGCATCTCGCACGCAGTAAGCGGCCTGGAATTGGTGAGGCTGGCCGACCTCAGAGAGCTCCCAACTCCCGTGCGGGTACGTTCCGGCAGACGTGAACATGTCGAGATCATGACGCGGCAAGACTTCGTTCATACCCTGGGTCCTCAAAACAACACGCGATTCCGTCGGTGATGAGTCCTCGTTGTGAGACATTGTGCCTTGAAAGAATGGGCACACGATTGTTGGTGAAGGCGAAGCGGTAAGTGTGGTGAGCAGATAGTGGCGGTAAGTGTGCATGTAGGGATGGTGGGGAGTCTAAAGTACAAAAAATAAAAGATAATAGGGATCTAGCAAGAAGATGAGGTCAAAATAGCTTTTTGGGGGCGCGATGAGAGAAGAAAGAAGAGACAGCACAAGATTGTATAAGCCAAAAATGACCCTTGACCAAATGCAGCGCTCGCGATAACACCTGGCGGAGACTTTATGGGAAAGATTGGCCCAAACACTGGAGTATCTTAGAGACAAGCGTGACAGGAACACACCAATCCAAGGAATTACACCTCGCCTAGTCGCCTAGGCCTTCTTGAGCTAGCAAATCTTGCACAATGTGGTGCGGCGAGAAATTCTCGAAAAGAGGCCGCAGGTCAACTGTTGCCTCGTCACCGACAAGTGTCCCATCTCGTCGTCAAAACTTCGTAAAAGTAGTTTGGACAGCTTGTGCAAGTCTGTGGCTGTGATACGTTGGCTTACGACTTGATTGAGATGCAGGTACATGTCGTCGAGCACGGGCGATGTCATACTCTTCTCCAGGATGCTGGATTCTCAAGTTGGCGGGCAACCGTTTTGCGTCGAAGCCAGCCAGGCATGTTCCTTGCACTGACCGCCGCACATATGCTTTCTGCGTGATTCTCAACCGGGCCGTTGGTGTTGCATCCGCCGTCGAAGGGAATTATACGCGAGAGAAAACGTTGTGTGCGTCGTTGGTTCCTTTCAACTGGTATGCACAGCCCGCTAAGCGCGCAGTCGACAGGGACACAAGGCAGTTGTCAGCGTGATAGCGAGTAATCGAGTTGAGACGTAGACGTGATGCTGAGAGAATGATCACCGAGTCGGCGAACTGAATTGTACAAACACGTACGCCCAAGTAACGTGTGATAGAAGGCTTCGGCTTGCTCGCTTCATCCCCTCGTGCCCCAAGCATTGATACGATTGATACAGTCCCCAGACTTTTTTCAACTCTTCAGGATGCGGTTTCGGGACGGCTTCAGCATCATGGTACTCGCGCACGGCTGGAGGTTCTCCAATGCGGGGAGGACACAAACCGATGGTTCTTGACCTCTGGTGTAAGTCAGCAGCAGGACAAGCGTATCCAGGAAGAGGGGATATCCTCGAACAGAGACTGCCGCAGGCATCCGTGAAGTAAGCCAAGGTAGTGGTAGCGAAGGGAGGCTGCAGCTGGCAGTGCCGAGGACGGAGGAGCACAAAGATCCGCCAAGGGACCGTCGGCGGCCGTTGACAAGGTAAGGTAGATGACAGCCGGAGGCTTGCTGCGTGGGCTTGCGGTGAGGTAAGGTAGGCCTGCCTTCTGTTGCTTGAGCCAGGTCGAGGTACCTGCATCTTCGGGCCGTGATCCAGACAAAGTACCGTTGTACCAGAGGGGAGCCTTCTGGGTACCTTTGGTGCTTGAAGAGAGAGAGGGGCGCCTCGAAGGTCACAAGTGTGTACAGTGTGAGAGATACCGTGTCCCAAACCGGGGTCCGATCGTGGAGGTCCCCATCTCCAATTTCGAGGTTGGTACAGATGAGTTTGGTAAGGCAGGCACGTTGGTGAGGAAGGTAAGTAAAGTAAGGTAAGGTGAGGTGAGGTAAGGTAAGTACCTAAGTATTCCCACACCCCCAGAGCTATCACCCACCCCCCTTCCTAAGAGGCATGACAACCCAGTCAAGTCTAAGGTAGCGTCTGGCCAGACCTGGAGTGGGAAGCAACCATCACACCCACACCCACGTACACCCCCCTGCAGCCTTCACCTCCTCCTTCCTCTTCCTCAAGACATCGTCCCACAAAAGTTTTTAGGCCCTCCACACCTCAACCAACCGTCCTCGGCCAATTCTATGACGGGAGGTGACTTCGTCGCTTCTTGAGGGGAAGGTGGCGCTTTCTTCCCCAATTTAGGACTTCCTTCCACCCCCCATGGACTACTCCAGATCCATCCTGGCGCGGACCATGTTGTCTCCCTCAAATCTCTCCCGCAACAAGTCCCGGATACCCTCCGTTGCCATCCGCATCCACGTTGAGTCCCGCTTGATCTGATCTCTTATTTATAACCATCGGCACAGCCAGCTTCAAATCAAGATTCTTCCATCACAGCCCAGAAATAAGTCACCACTTTATCAGAACCTTAATTGATTTGTTATTCAATATCCCCAAGAGACACAAGACACAAGACACCCCCTAACAACCTATTGATACGGCATTCTACCTTACACCGCCATTTACATTCAGCATGGCGTTGACATTCAACCCTGGCAACATCGTTGCTCGTGACATTGATCCTACCCAAGTGCACCCCGAGATCCTTAAGATTGTGACAGAGATCTTGGACCTTCGCCTCAACACATTCGAGTCCACCATTGCCGTCTCTGCAAGAGATTACTTTGCTTTTGGCGAGGAGGGTCGGCTCTTCATGGCATTGCATATGGGGTACGCATCCATTTCTACTCTGTGTTTGTCTTATACTGGTCTTCCATAAGGTCCCTAACATTCATCACAGGCGTATGTTGGGCCAACCTGTCATGTGGGTCAAGGACGGCATGCATGCCAGCGTCGATAGATGGGTTCTCGGGCCTTGTGAGAGGTTCATTGCCGGCCCACACATGATCGTCTCGGTCAACGGGATTGCTGTCGTCGTTCCTCGACCACCACCACAACTCCTCGAAGAAGCACCCGGTGCAACCACCCAGTTCGTCAACGCTCCTGAACGAAGAGTCAAGATCACACGACCCCCCAACGCCTTCATCCTCTACCGCAGCGACTACCAAGCCCAAATCAAGCAGATGAACCCTCAGCTTCAGAACAATGATATCTGTGAGTGACTGAAGTCCAACAGCATTACACCATCTTGCTGACCTTTGAAAAGCCGGGATCCTAGGCAAAGCTTGGAACAACGAGTCTCATGAAGTCCGCGAAAGATACAAGGCTCTCGCTAAAGCCTACAAGGAGCGCCACAATAAGATGCACCCTGACTATCGGTACACTCCACGCAAGCCTTCCGAGAAGCGTCGTCGCAACCGGAGAAGCACTTCAACCTAACCCTCTCAGCCACCTCGTTCTTGATATGGAGTCTAAGAATCGTAGGACCAAGAAGCGATCCATCATAGCATCGCTGCATAAGTTACTGCCATGTTAAGTCTCGACGACTTTACAAGAGGCCTAGCGACTACAAGTTGCGGAACACACTCTTCTGCTTCCTTAGGTCGAATTTGCCTCGTCTTCCCGAAAAGCCACATTCTAGCTCGCGTCGAGGAAGCCAGCAACATCAACACTTGATGTTCGGGCCAGAAATAAGCAGACATGCTGTGCCCGGCACCCACCCTTACGGTGGTCAGCTGGAGCCAAAGAGACCTCTTCTGCTAACCTATGGTCCCAAGAAGACCAGCAAAGGCTCGGCTTCGTGTAAGGCTTTGAAGCCGCTTCGTGCGGTTCCACCTACTCTACTCACAAGATGGGCGAATTCTGGCCGCATCATTGGGCGGGGGCGGTGGCGGCGCTTTGGGTGGAGTTCAAGCAAAGAGTGAGCTGCTGCAATAAGAGCAAGACGCGAAAGGATAGAGCAATCCGCGACGTCGCTGCCGAAGAATCAGATGCCTATCTCTGCCATGATACGAAGATGAGCCACCATAATAGCGATATAGATTGTTCGATAGATTTACTAGAACATTAATGGAATCATAATGTTCATGTCTCATTGCTTTAATCTTCTTCTCCTGCGCGACCAAAGTACCTAGATGTCTCTTTTCGAAAGTAATGCGTACAACTCGTCACATGTCTTCGCTGAGTTCTGTGTGGCTCTATATCGTCTTTTGGTGGAAGTGTAAACTACGACGCCTGAGACTGGCTCTTTTTCCAATCACTGCTCCATATAAAAGTACCGCATCTCCACTCTGTCCCCTTTTCCTTTTCTCCAGATTTTCCCAAGGGACGGGCGCAGATAAAAAACGACCTGCCTATGTGGATCATCAGCTATGAATGGGGTAGGGGAAGCAAGGTCGGGACATGTCGGGGGGCAAGGGAGAGGAGGGTAGGACAGAAGCCTTGGTGGACGCATAAACGAGCGTAAACAGGGGATGAAGACGTAGTATGTGTGTGTAGTGTATGGTGTGGTTGGGTTGGAGTTGGGTGTTTAGACTTACCGCAGTTAACGCCCGGCTTCTTGGTCTGGAAGCTGATGCAGGGCTCCCCGTGCTCGCACTTTGGCACGACCCTCTTCCCCAGGTTGAACTTTGACCAAGACTCCTTGACCTCGATGGGGTCAAAGACCTTTTCCGAGGCCGTCGTCTCGAACGGCTTCGTGGCGGATGAAAGAGGCGTGGGGTCTTCGCCGCCGCCACCACCGGGTTGTTCTGCCGTGCCCGCCGCTTCTGATAGTCCCGAGAAAGAACGTATTGGGCCAGCAGCAGCACCACCACTTGCGGCTTTGTTCTTGGAAAATGGTGATGGTGGCTGGTTGGTCCTCGCTGCGTCTGCTTCGGCGGGTAAAGACTGGGTTGGTGGTGGTTGTGGCGGGTTTTTGGGCTTGAAGAAGCCCATGAGGGTGCTCTGGGCCTTACCGTCGGATTCGTTGGTTTTCGACTTCTTGGGGGCTCGTTTAGCAGATGCTGCCGATTCGGCTGGTCGTTTTACGAGCGGGCTGGTGCTTTGTGACGAGGAGGGTGTCGCCTTGGGGGGCGGTAACCTTGCGGCGTTGGACTGCATGGATGCCTGTGAGGCGGCGGGCGCATCTTCGGTCGTCGTCGTTGCCTGCGAGGCTTCCGGGCCTCGCGTCTCTTGAGTCGTCATGGGGTAGTCGCTGTCGTCTTCGGTTGGAAGACTGTGTAACTCGAGGAGAGTCGATCCTGGGCTTGGTGCTGGCTTTGGGGCGGGCTTCTTCATGAACATGTCTCGGATGTTGCGTCTTCGGTCGAATTCGGGGATGAGCTTTGCGGATAGGGGGAGTAGGTCCTTCTGTGACCATTCCCTGAGCCGCTTACCGTCGTGGAACATACCGCTGGGGTTCATCACGTCGAGGATGGATGTTTCCTTGCCGTCTGTTGTGACGACGTCATTCATGACTGCGTAGACGGGGCAGTGGTCAGATCCCATTAGCCCCTCCTGAATGTTGGAGTCCGTGAACCAGTCCTTGATACCCGACGAACATAGGATATAGTCTATCCGGCTGCCGTTGTTCGCCGGGCGAGTATTCCTCTTTGTGTCCCAGCAAGTGAACATGCTCTGCCTGGTGGGGTGGAAGATGCGCGTCAAGTCATGCAGGACGGGCGACTCCTTTCCTTCGTCGCGTTCACCGACGACCTGGCCACCGACGACAAGCTGGTTGATGAACCGCCGGCTTGGCCCCTGCATCCACTCTTCGACAGTCATGCCCTCCTTGCGGAGCGTCTCCCTAAGGTTGCAAGTGTCCATCTCCTCACGGATGACGTTGAGGTCACCTGTTAAGATAACCTGCTTCCCAGCCGCGACAAGATTCCTCACGCGCGCGTCGAGGGCGCCGAGGTAACCCAGCCGAAAGTCATCACGAGACGAGTCGCGGGTCGCGGGGCTGTAGGTTCCGATGAGCACAAAGGCCGGGAACTCGAGGATGACGCACCGACCCTCCGAGTCGAGCGTCGCCTCGTCTACTTCGCTGGAGAGCTGGCTTGCGCGCGGATAGCCGCCGATCTGCTGGTCTTCCGGTAGGTCGCGGAAGCTGATAGATGAGTTTGGGGCTGGGAGGACGCCTGTGATACCTTCTTCGGCGCGGATGGGGCAGCATGTTGCGTTCCGGGTGTATATCGCGACACCGGAATATCCTAAGGCGAGAGGTGAGAAACATACTGAGGGACGATGACCGTTGTGAGCTCACCTTTTTTGTATTTAGGGAGGCTGAAGAACACGTCCCAGCCAGGCACTAGTACCATGTCATCTTTGAGGTCTTTCCGCTGTATTTTCGTCTCCTGCATGACTACGATGTCCGCCTCGAGGGTTTCAAACATTGCCTATAAGCTTTTGTCAGGGACAGTGGGAACCCGCGAGTAAAGAGGGTAACAGACCTGAAATGTGCGTTGTATGCTCCATGGCTGATATCCAAATGGGTTTCTAGATAGTGTCAGTTGAAGTACATGGATATCCTCAGTTGAATTTGACATACCTGATGCCGTTGACTGTGGTACAGAAATCGTGAGTGAGTGAGAGTGTCTGTCAAATGGCGGGGACCAACTCACCATTCCATGTCACTATACGTAACCCCATTCTGACCGGTAAATGTTCTGCTCCTGGTATCACGATTGAAAAAGACTCGAAATCACAAACGCCGAAATTACGTCGCTTTCATGCCCATACCGCAGATGTCAAAGGTTGGGTTGCGGCATCAAAACTAGAGGTTCAAGTGCTACTTTCGCCCCTAATTGCCTGAATGAATGACCGGGATATCAAGGTTGCGATCGGGATTCTTTGAGGATCAAGAGGCACGAGAAGCGACGCTGGGATGCCTCAATTAAACTGTCAAGTCCTGGTTAACGCGACGTAACTGCCGTCATTGAAATGGTGAACGCGACGGTCTGCGCGGTGTCCCGTGATTGTCTATGCACACGTGACTGAGTGCGACATCCTGCAAGTCGCTGCAACTTCATGGATGCAACATATTCTTGTGTCTCAATCTTGTATTTTCCAATGTGAATGAATCTCCTACAATTATTGTACCAAATCTTTTTTTTTTTTCTATCATTCAACGTGTAGAAGTCAGGCACCTGAGTCTAAGTCAGGAAGGTAAGCCGAGACGAGCATCTGGTGTTGGTTGAGGTACGTACCGAACCCGAGTCCTCCCCTCCTGTTTTCTCCGCAAATGACCTGACATCATTTAGTCATCCCCAAAGGCCACCTTTGGGCCTTACAATCCAGGCACTTTCAAGGCCGTGAACGTTCCCGCTAGCCGAGCTCTGGATAGAGAATGACCTGATCCTCCGACTTCCGACTTCACAAAACCTCGAAATCCACCCACCACCAACGCCCACCCGGCCGAAACGAAACCTCTCCCCTCCACCGATATCTTCCAAACACAACAATGCAGCGTCAGCTCCTCTCCGCCGCCGCGCGCGCCGCCCGCGCCCCGGCCGTCCGCTCCACCGTCCAGCGCCGCTTCGCCAGCACCACCGAGAACGCCTTCATCAAGGAGCGTGAGGCTGCCAAGCACCACGCCGCGGAAACCACCGGTTCGTCCTCTCCCGCCCTGTACGAGTCCGACATACTTCAATGTTTCGAGTTCTGGCGAGCCAATTGGGCCCAATTGATCCTCGAGCGGCGAAGGGAGGACCGGGATGGATACAACATGGGGGAGAAAAACATGAGATGCTAACATATTGAGTAGGCCTCTGGCGCAAGATCTCCATCTAGTATGCACGCCGCCCCTTCTTCAATCCTCAGTCGAAGTCTCCTCAAGTACCAAATCTGTGGTCCCGCGAGATATCTGCCCGGCCATCTTAGTCAATGCCGCTATATTGAGTATCACGAAGAAGCCGGAAAAGAGCGCGGGATTTGATTCGGGAACTGCTGGGGAGACATGGGAGACTGATATCAAGAGTGCAAATGCTAACCCCAAGGTCTTCACTTTCCACAGCGCTTGCATCCCCGCCCTCGGCCTCGCTGCCGCCAACGCCTACGTCCTCTGGAACGAGCACTGGGACCACTGGAGCCACATGCCCCCTCTGGAGGAGCGCGTCGAGTACTCTTACCAGAACATCCGCACCAAGAACTACCAATGGGGCAACGGTGACAAGACCATCTTGTACGTTTTTTTACCATTCTTCTCTGGTTCCCCCCCCCGCTCAATCTCAAGCACGGAGCGGGACATGGACGTGAATTTGTGGGAGAGACTAACACTCAAAACAGCTGGAACGACAACGTCAACTACCACAACCCCGACAAGGCTTAAATCAAGCCTGTCTAAAGTGAACGTGATATCGCTGATTCAGGAGACGAAGGAGCGATCCATAGACTCGGGGTGTGACACGCCTGCTGAGGGGGTAGACTATCCTGTACATTTTCCCTATGTCACAGCAATCGAGAGATGCGGCCTTTTAAAACTTTCGGGAAGTGTCATCGTGAAGGTATTGATGCCTAGTGCTACGTGAACCTGTCGCTCATCGTATCCCTCTCCAGGTATGGCGGGGGGTGCTAACGTTTCATATCGCAAGTGCTGCCGCCTCCTTGCGTAGAGCCACATACGCAGCAGCATAATCCGCCGCCAACACCTTATCCCCCGCAACCTTCATAATGGTTGCTTTCTTGGCCATCATCTCACACTGCCTCGTGATATCCTCGATACTCGAATAATGATCAAACGCCTTTTGTATAGCACCCGTAGCCCGGGTCAGGTACTCCCGCCTCTTGGCCGACTGCGGCGCCATCATCCCCGCGATGCCCATGTTGGCGTCGGCAAGGTACGAGTACAACTGCCCGCTCAGTGCCGCAGAATCGCACTCGAGGCTCCGCGGCAGGACGGCCGTGAGGAGCTGCACCGAGGCCTCGAACTCGCCCAACGACGTCAGGATATTAGCAATGGCGCCGATAGCCTGCCACAGGCAGGAGACCAGCCGCGCCCTCCACGCCATGCTCGCCGCGCGCATCGCGATGGTGAAGCCCCGCTGCTGACGCCCGCACTTATCGTACAGGTGGACCTTGATCAGCATGAGCCTCACGCGGAGCGAAATGTCTCTCTTATCGTCGCGAATCGCCGCCAGCATGTCCTCGACCTTGTTGAAGGCCGCCTGCAGGTCGCCCCGCCGCGTGAGGCAGTCGATGTGGAGGAAGTCGACCACAAAGGCCATATCCGGTTCCAAGTCGTCCTTCTTGGACTGCAAGAGCTGTGAGAGCAGCTGCTCTGCGCCGTCGAGGTTGTTGTGGTGCAGATCCCGCTTCAGCTTGATGATGCCCCGGTACTTGTACCAGTATTGGCTCGGTTTCCACGATCGTAAGGCATTCTCATCGAGGGCCTCTAGTTTCTGCAACGCCTCGTCAAACTTGCCTCTCGCCGCGAGCTGCGACGCCAAGCGAGATGTGACCTTGAGTTCGTCGTCGAATATGGAATGTCTTGCGTGACACCGTAGGAAAATCTCACAGTCCATGGCTGAGAGCTGCGACAACCCCAACCTATCCCACAGGGCAATCAGAATGGACAGCTGGGCGCCAAACATGTTCTTCATGTTCCGCTCGACGATGAGATGGGAGCTGCGGACGACGAGTTCGACCGATGTCGCCACGCTCTCACCATTTGCCAGTCCCAGCTTCGCCTCGCTGAGAAGCACCGACGCCCATAACGTCCACATACCCGTCTCCTTCGCCTTGACTCGCAGGTAGGAAAGACTTTCCTTGGCCGTGCCGAGTAGACTGTCTGCCTCCAGATCCCTGACAAGGTCCGGGTGAGCTCTGCCGAAATGGAAGAGCCAGCTAAGTGCAAAATTGAGACAGGTCATGTCGCGGTTCTCGCGGGCCGTTGATACTGTTTCGAGCATGGCTGCGACAGCTTCTCTGTAGCACCCAAAGTCTGCTTGCAAAACTGCTAGGTTCATCAAGGCGTATTGATAGAACAATCTGTCTCGATTCTGCATCGTGTAGTCAAAGTATTGATGGAGAAAATCGAAGGCTGTAGGATAGTCGCCTGATCTCCAGGCATCAAGAAAACTACAAAACATTAGAAGAGTATTCACCAACAATGGTCGGAGTGACTTGCCTCAGATAATGCCTTAAGCTAGGCACGAGAAAGCTGTCCCCAAGGAGGTCATGAAACTGATTCCTCAATTCTAATGGTATTCGGTTGCCAAATTCTTCTCTCGTCAGCTTCAGATCCTTAATACCTGGAGAGATTCACTTACTCTGCATCTGCTCGATCTGGAACTCCAGCAAGAGCTCAATGTCGTCTGTGCTCACCGGCACAGCAGCAGGTGTACCGCTCCTTACCATGTCGCCGTAGACAACAGACGTGAGCGCCGCAACACCCTCCAAGTCCCACTCCGACTGCTCGCCTGTCATGAGAACATTGTCGAAGCTGAGCCGGCCAAAGGAAGGGTTCCTCTTTCGGAGGTACCCCGCCGTAGGCTGCCGATACTGCACGAAGTCCGTCCACAGCTGCGTCGCGTCGTGGAACAGCAGCCTCGTGAACTCGAGCTGGCACCGCCGCACAAACTGACCCAGCGGCGAGTTCCTCGACAGCGTGATCCCGGACTTCTGCTGCTGCTCCTGCAACAGCTGCGCGGCAATGGTCTCGTCGCCGCCTGCCGCCCGCAGCAGCTCTTCTTTCGTCTTGGCCAGGCACTGCGACTGGCGCGCGAAGAAGTCGTGGAGGAGGTCGAGGGAGTTGATTCCCCATAGCTTGGCGAGGAACGTGTCCCAGAGCTTCCGCCCTGGTAAGCCGACGACAACGGAGTGGGCGCTCAGTAGCTTTTCAAAGTCCTTGATGCCGATGACGAGGCTGACGGTGCTCTCGGCTTTCCTCCAGCGCGTGTCCTTGCTGGCGGTGTTGGTGAAGGACTGAGGGTCCGGATCGAGGAGATGTGATGTGATGAAAGAGAGCACGGGGATGATTGCCGTGGCGGGGACATGTTCGTCCGTGTACAGCTCGATGAGGGCGAGGAGGCCAATCTTGGCAGGTGTGAGGTATCGAGCCATTATGGGCTCTGCTTCCGAAAGATACGCAGCTTCGTCAGAGATTTAGTCCCAATAAAGTTGACTTGCCCGAAAGCTCATCGGATGGCGTGAACGGTGAACCCGTCGGCGTCGCGGTTGACCATGTCACTTGAGCTAGGCGAGGTGAAATGCAGCACAGCGCGTCGCGCATGCGTCAACTAAAGGTGCCGTAGCAACCAAAAATCAACCAGAAGATTTCAGCCGGGCGAGAAGTGAATTTGAAGCACGAGAACAACGTCCGAGATCTTGGCGGCTAGAGCTCTTCTGTTTGTTAGTCTCGATGTTGTCAGTGAGGTTTCTGTGATGTTGGGCGTCCCCACAGAAGCCAGCGAGAAATATGATTGGCCACCAATGCTTGAATAGCTCAAGAACGTGTGTCTCGCGACTACCTCCACGACACACATCGCCGTCGAGTGTTATACGTCGAAGTAGTAATTTCTCTCAGAGGAAGGCGGTTCATTATCATTGAATGGCAAATATTCAAAAGACACCAGCGATTCACCGAGTAGGATTTATTCTGGAGTGCTACGTTGGACGATGTCATCTCTTTCACCGAAGCATTACACCTGCTTCACATGATGCATTACATTTGTACGTTATCTTACAGATATTGCTACAATATTTGATGATGGGCTGAGATCTCCAGCCGGGCCGGCTGTTGAACTCGAATTCTCTCTCAAGCCAGAACGCACTCTCTGGCGAACCTGCTCTGTTCAGGAGCTTGTGATGTATCCCAAGACCGGCACTCCTGATATCGAAGTCGGCAACCGTTTAAAGACTCTCCGACTTTCTCACGTCTCCTTCCAACGAACACTCTCCCCCTGCCGATTCCTCAACTCACTCTCCCGCGCCTCTCTCGCCTCATCCGCAGCCAAAATATCACTCCCACTACCCCCATCAATCTCATCAACATCATTCGTCGCCCAAATCCTCTCAATGCAAAGCTCAAACGGCCCCGGCACCCGATCCGTAAGCCCCACGCCCACCGTCGTGACCTTTGACCTTAGCATCTCCGTCTGCGGCTCAATAACGAAGCCGTGATTCGTCCTCACGAACTCGTTCCACTTGACAAACACAGTCTCCCACTCCCCGGGCCGCTTGGCGAACAGCCTGTGCTGGTGCAGGTCCGTCGGCACCACCGAGTCCGTCTGCAGGTTGATAAAGTAGCTCCGGCCGTCCGACTTGACGCGCATCGCGAGGTAGGAGTACGGGTCAATATCCCAGACGGCCTTGCCGAAAAGCGTGGGCTTCTGGTCTGGTGTCCGCCATGCCGCGAAGCCTGTGCGTTGGATTTTGGGATCGTTTTTGGGGAGGTCTGTTGATATTGTGCCGTGAAAGCGGGCATGGCCTGCGCTAGTCGTCGGTGTGCTTTGTGGTGATGTTGTCGTCGCTGTCGCGGAGGAGGAGGAGACCCAGTCGAGGGCGCTGTGGGAGAAGCCGCCAATCTCTTGGTCGGACATGAGTTTGCAGTCGTCGGTCGAGCCTGGTGTGCGGAAGTCTTGGAGGACGTAGGGACCCGAGGGGCCCTTGATGCCTTCGGCTTTTGCGACTGTCGCAGTATTGCGTTAGCTTTCTTGACCTGTACGATCCTGGGAAGGGCTTGACGTATGACGGAACCTACCAATACTCGCGCGACGCTTAAATTCGTCCATTGTTCGAGAGAATATGCCCTTGGCCATCAGCGAGGGCGTCGCGCGCATCTTTGCGGTCGTTTCGCCGGCGCCGCCGACAAGTTCGCTTTCTAGGTAATTTTTCGGCTGTTCGGATTCGAAGCTCGCTCGCGCAATGCGCCCGTAGTGCTGTCGAGTCTGTGGTTGACGATTGGCAATCGAACTCCGTGCCTGTCTGCGTGTCACCTTTTGGCAGGAAATTTGGCAAGTTTAGCTCTCCGGTTACGATCTTCAACTTTTGCTCAGATTAATATCCCCGACTGCTTGTCTTGGAGCTTTCGGCACCGATGTAAGGTACATGGGTACAACGAGCTCGAGCTTCCATGCGGGGGAAAGAAAGACCGTGTTCCGCCTTCAACGACATTCCGTCTCATTGGAGTCAATCCCATCCCCTACCTACGACAATAACTATTGGTTTGAAGCCATCACAGTCCAGGTCTTGCCGTGAAAAATGTGCAAAATTGTCCAGGATTACATGTTCGTTTTTTTCGGTCTGCTCCCGTCATTTCATTATACTGCTGTACTCAAAATGGCCTCGGACCCTTCACAGGCTGATTTCCTGAGAATCTCCGTTCTGTCTGTAAACCTTCAGCAGACTTAGGGAGCATGATCACGCGCCAGCATCACCAAGCCCGTCTCCGGACAAGGCAGTCAATATAATTCATGTCTTCAAGAAGAGTATGACCTTCGATATGTCACGAACACATGCAAAGTGGGAGTGGTCTACTCAAGCGTGCATTCCTGACTAATCTATCCGTAATGGTAGTGAGTGTCCTTACACCTCGAGTAGACAACGGTGCTTTCTGCACAAAAACCCAAGTTCATCTATGATCCCCAATTCCTGTTCTCTATAACCGAGCCGTTCCGATCATTCGAGTACAAGACCAAGGTCCTGGCATATTTGAACCCCTCCAATGCTCTCAAGTTCCCACCGTATCTGAAGAAAAAAACCACCAAACTTTTGTTGAAGAGGAAAATCTTGTAGTAAAACACAAGATTCGAAGAAGGGTAAACACACTATTTGAAACCCAAGAAGGATTCGAAAGAAAGATTTGAAATGAACCAAGAGAGGTCAGGAGACTAGTTGGAACGGTCGGAACCGTCAGCGACGAAGGCTCGGTTGACATCAGTGATGACAGGCTCGGACTGCATCATACCAGTGACGGGCATCTGAGGGTGGTGAGCCGGAGAAGAGTGCGGCGCGAAATCGCGAGTGAACGGAGTCCAGAGAGGAGTGCCGTGGCCGTAGCCCCAGAAGCCAACAGGCGACTGCTGAACGGGGGTCTGGACGGGGCCACCCTGAGCGTAGTATGGCATGCCATTGTTGTTGTTGTTGTTGTTGTGCATAGGAGTTCCAATCTGAGAAGGAACAGGGGGAGGGGCCATGGGGTACTGGACCTGGGTCTGCTGCATGGGCATTCCCTGGGCCATGGGCTGGCTGATCTGTTGACCCATGGGCTGCGCGTTCATGGGAGCCTGCTGAATCATCTGCTGGTTCATGTTGTGAACCATGGGCTGCACATTCATGGGAGACTGCTGAGCCATCTGGTTGCTCATCTGCTGGCTCATGGGCTGGCTCATGGGCTGCATGTGCATAGGAGAGTGCATGGCGGGCTGAACCTGCTGCATCGGACCAGACTGCATCTGCATCTGCGAAACCATCTGGTTGTTCAAGGGCTGCTGAGTCTGGATCTGCATGCCCTGGCTGCTGTTGATCGGGGGGTGCATCTGAGTCTGAGTCTGAATGCTCTGCATGTTCTGCTGCATGTTCTGCTGAGCGTTCTGCTGAGTGTTCTGCTGCATGCATTCGCCACTCTGCAACTGCAGAGACTGCGTGCTAACCATCTGGCCATGTCTGGGGTTGAGAGGATAACCAGTGGGCATGACGGTAAGGGTGCCCTGCACAGCGTCGGAGGGAGGAGCAGCCTCGATGGCCAGGCTAGTTAGGCGCTGCTGAAGATGGCTAACACGAGCAGGGGTAGAAGCGACACTGCCATGGTAGCTGTTGCTCTGAAAGGCGCGGCTGCTGCCGCCGCCGTTGAAGCCGCCGTAGCGACGACGTCTATCCATACGCTGTTGAACGCGGATGATGTGATCCTCGACGAGGGAGTCATTCTATTGATCATGTCAGCTTGAAGGTTCTTCACCCCTTAACCAAGTCAAACTTACGAAACGCTCGATGGCAGACCGGGCATAGCTGACGTTGGTGAACTCAACGAAAGCAATCTGCTTGGGACCGTCTGTGCAGCTGTCAGTTTCGTTCACACAAGGATAGGATGTCCTGGTTGAGACTCACCCTCATAGGCGCACTGCTGGGCGTGGACGGCGACCACACCGCCAATTTGATCCATGAGGTTGCGAATCTTGTCTTCAGTGAAGCCAAGAGGGAGATCACCCATGAAGATGGAGCGACCGTCACGCTCTGCAGTGTTGTTCTCCATGGGAGGACGATGAGGCATGCGAGCCCGGATCTGCATGGCCTTCTTGAAGTCGTATGACTCAACCCTGTATGTGTGATTCATGCGGAAAGCCCGAAGGACCTGCTGAGAGGGATCGTGAACAGCGAACTGGACACGAACAGTGACCGGAAGTCCGAGCTTCTCTTGAATCTCCCTGTCCAAAAGGTTGATTCTGTCAAGCGTGCCGAATGGAGTCAAGAGCTCCTGGGCCTCCTCAACCGTCATGTTAACTCGATCATGGCGGTAGATGATGTAGGTGCCTATGTCTAAAAGTCAGCTTGAGCAATGAGAACTTAGAGAGAATGAACCCACGGTTGGCGCGAACAGTCTCGGTGCGGCACGGGCGACCAAGAATCAAGCTTCCTCTACCCTGAACACGGGCATCCTCGGCATCCTGCTTCGTCTGTGAATGCGTTAGTGAGGATGTCGAGTGTGAAGACCATATGGAAACTACTTACGTTGAACTGAACGAAGGCGTAGGGCATGCCGCTTCCATCGCGACGAATCTTGACGAAAACAACGCCGAAGCGGTCGAACTCACTGATCACAGCGGCCTCAAGAGTGATGTCATCCTTGTACTCGGGGAGGCTGGCACAATAGGTTAGTGTTGAGCACTAGTGAGATTCTCTGGAGCTTGGAACTTACTTGGCAACGAAGATGCAAGAACCAGTAGGGAAGCCGAACTGAGAGTTATCGGCGACGTTGCGCACGAAGGAAGAGATGCCCTTGCTGGGAGAGCCACCGACATACTCGTTGCGCTGAGACATGCTATTGCCACCAGCCTCCGAGGTCTGGACGTTGCTCTGACCGAGGGTGTAAGACAAGGCCGTGGCCACGGGATCCTTGCCTGAGCCAGACGCGGTCTCGTTGAAGACATCGCTAGCGGTGGTCTCAGGGATTGTGGAACGGCTGCCACCCCTGTGAAACAAAGTCAGACTATGTTCAGAACGTAATGGGAAATCCAAACTTACACAGCAGCTGTGGCGGACGAAGTAGGACGCAGCGCCTTGGCGGCATCCTGGGAAGAACGACTATTGAATGTCAATGAGGATGAGAAAATGCCACGAAAGAGATGTCACTTACGTAGGACTGCCTCTCAGAGAGGAAGTGTTCAACTGCGCCGAGTTCTCGGCGGTCTCAAGAGACGCGAGCAAGCCGTACGGGTTACCCGAGAGGTACTCGTTGGTGAGGCGGACGCCGCCGCCACTCTCAACATCCTCCGAGGAGGAGGAGGACTTTCCGGGAGACTTGCGACCATTGCGGTCGCCAGCCTGGCCGGCATTCTGCGAGGCCATCGCAGCAGCCCGGAGCGCCTGCTCGCGGTCGTGCTGGATGCCCAGCTGCTCAAGGCGCTCCATGAACATGGCTCTGTCAGCCGGGTCAGCCAGGAGAGTCTTCATCGAAGCCATCGCGAGTTTGTATGCTGAAGTTGTTAATTTCGCAAACGACGGTTTCAAAGATTGGGAGCTTCGATAATGATGAGATTGGATATGAGAAAGTGATGTAGGAAAAAAGCAGTAGCAGCTTGAGATGGATATGGGGAAGCGTTGTGGGTATGGATTGTTGTGTGAAGAGAAGTGTAGATGTTTTGATTGCTGATGGGTGAGTTGTGGAGGGTGAAGAAGGTAAACCAGCAGAGGGTGGGTTGTTTTTCGAGAGGCACAGGAATCCAGAGGATGGAGAGATCGTGGGATTGAGATTCAAACCTCAGGGCAAGGCTAGGGCTTGAAGTGAGGCTATCGTGGGTCACTCACCTCTCACGATAGTTGCTGGAAGGGCGGGAGCAGCCTCATGGGCAGAGGGCCCCGCCTGCTCCCGCCTTCTGTGAGGTCATGACCTCACTCGCGATAGTTGAAAAAAGGCGAGAGCAGTCTCGTCTGTTCCCTCCCTTTGTGATGTAAGGTCACGAGAGCTTCAGAAGAGGCGAGAGCAGCCTCATGAACGAGCGCTCCCACCTGTTCCTGCCCTCTGTGAGATCATGGCCTTGCATCACAAAGGGTAGGGCAGAGAGAAGCCTCATGAGTGACAGGCTTGTCTGCTCCCACCCCTTTGTGAGGAGTTTGTGATCTCACTCACGATAGTTGCAAGGTGGGCAGGAGCAGCCTTGTGGATGACAGCTTGCTCCCGCCCTTCGTGAGATGAGGTCATGACCTGACAGGTGATTGCAAGGAGGGCGAGAGCACCCTTGTAAACAAGGGGCCCTGCCTGCTCCTGCAGTATTGTTTGAGCGAGTTATTCGAGCAAAATTTTCGAGCAAATTATTCGAACAAGTTTTGGAAGCAGATTGTTGTAGTGTTGAAGCAAATTATCGAGAGAGCTGTTCAGTAAGTTAGTTATCGAAATTCTGATCAAAAGAATTGGTGTGGGATGTTCTCACCAGCCCACTCATCGTTTGTTGTGCAGCGATGAAATGGGCTGCCCTCATCGCGATTTTGGGACGGCGGCTCTCGTCTGATGTGGGTGAGAACAAGTTGAGAAGGAGTTGGTGTGCTCCAAGTGGGAAGACTTTGTTCACCCAGGCACATCTGGGCGGTAGGCAGAATACAAGGACGAATACAACACGTACAAGCT